ATTATTATATTTATTTAAGTTAATCTTTAATTTGTAGAAAAAGTATAAGGATGAATTCAATTAAGTGAATAAATAATTTTAGCGTTAAATTTTTTATTCAAAATTTATGTGGGTTAATACAAAAATGATACGAAAATATACAAGTTAACTCGATACGGTACGATTAAAAAAATGAATTGAATTAGGTTTGATTAATGTTCGTACGAACCCGTAATAACTTAACACAAATCTGACACGATACGACTCGATTGTCACTCATAATCTTAGCAAGCACAAAAAAAAATAATTATTATTATTTTTATTTTTTATCCATTCTATCAAACACAAAATAAAAAAAATATATCATTTATACTTTCTTTTCTTAAAGGATAAAAAGTATATCCCTCGTATTTATCATATTTCTTATTAAACAGACCATTGGTGAAAAGAAAAGAACCGATCGCCACTTTTCTTTTGTTCAAATGATTTACTTCAGCCGTTGAAATTGCTGGCCGAAAGAAGAAATATTCTTTGCTAGATAGTAGCAAGATATGACATCTTTACAATGAACCTCTATGTTGAATAAGGCCACGTAAGGCCAGCCTGGTGATCGACCTGTGCGGTGATTCTCATAATTCAGATATTGCATTGCTTTTTTTATTTTAGTTGTCTCTTCTTCTTTGCAATGTCACCAGGTTGACATTGAGGTGAGTGACGGTGACCCAGTGATAAAGACTTGCTTTCGGACACAAATGGTTGCAGGTTTCAGCCACAAAAAAATTATATGAGCAAAATTCATCCATTACTTGATTAAAGGATAAGTGTTATGAAATATTTAATTACCAACAAAATATAATAGGAAGTATAATCAAAGGTTGAACCCGATAGCTCAGCATCTGTCTTTTTCCTGCTCGGATTTTTAAGAAGCCTGCACTTTTTATTTGACCTTGACAATTGACAATAAATATTGATCTTTTTGAATCTAATGAATATGAGTCATTCACTATTTCTAATAAACAATCTAATGTACAAGTATTATCCCTCCCTTCTATCATACAAATTACTAGGGATTACCTATTTGTACGAGCATTTCACCGCTCAAAATGCATAACAATATATTGAATCCATCGAATGCCCTCTCCCCCACCACCAAAAAAAAAAAAACCCACACACCCACAAAAGAAAGAAAAGAAAAAACAGACATACATGGGACTATCGTAAGATGACAATTTTTTTGGGTATCTTAAAAGATTTAATAATCTTTGTTTGTGCCATAAAAAAATAAATTTCTTGTGTTACACCCTCAGCGTATTAAATGTGTTATAATGTGACCTTTTTGTTAGTTTTCGTTACTCATTTCATCAAAAATCATTTCATTGACATTGACGGAATAAATAACAGAAGGATCACACTACGACACTTTTAATACATTGAAGGTACAATGTAAGAAATCTGATCTTTGATGATACAAAATAAAAATTCTTAAATCTTTTAGAGTATAAAGTGCAATGCGCCATTCTCTTTTTTTTTTTTTTGCCTCTTCTAAGCCACATTGTCAATCCATAGGACTGCCGATAACAGACTGAGTTTTGCCCAAAATTGCTATACTTAAAATTATGATATAGACCAATTAGTTCAAAAAATCACAAAATTATGGATTACAAAGTTAAACAAGAACTATAAACTCAAAAAAGTCAACTATGATTTGGACGAGGAGTCAATAGTTGACCCAATGTCCACCGTCATGCAATTGTTTGCAGGTTCGACTCTCGCCACCCTTTTTCCTAAACAAATTCCTTAAAAAAAAACTATGATCGGGACCAAATAGCTAAAATATTGGCAAAATTTTGAATTCTAGCATAAACCCTGTCATGGAAAGTGTGCTTTTTTTTTTCTTTTTTTTTATTTTATTATGAAATGGCGATGCCCTAGTTTTTTTTATATATAAAAAAGAAAAATATCGGCGATGTATAAGAATGACAGTGGACCGGGGTGGGAATGGGGGAATAGTCTCCAGCCCCATACCCACTTCAAAAAGGTCTATCCACCTCCTTTTAAGTGGGCAAGTTTTAGTCTCCACCCCGCCTTTATGCTAAATTTTCATACAAAAAAATAGATCTATGCAAAAAAGTCCAGATCTATGAAGAAAAATACTAGATCTATGAGAAAAAATAAATCTATGCTAAAAAAAGGATAGATATGTCAGAAAAAAAATAGATCTATATTAAAAAACCCTAGATCTATGGGGAAAAGAAAGATCTATATTTGTCGATATGTAGACCTCATTATATAAAAAGTTATTCGGGTTTAACTTAGCGGGGCGAGAGCGGGAGTAAGTTTCAGTTCATCCCCACATGGATTCATACAAAGTATTTTCGTATATGTTCACCATTCAATATGTGTGCTCCATTCAGTCCAAATAGGACAGATTTGGATGCATTTTTATTTTTCACCAGTTTACCGTTATCCCTAGTAATGCAACATGAACTCTTGAATATTTGAACATTGATGTCCCCTGCTTAGTTTACCACTAGATTAAAGCATGGATGGAAAGTTGTACAACCTACAATTTGTGACAAAAAAGATTGGAAAAAAGAAAGAAAGAGAGAGATCATGGATTGGATTCCGTTATATGCAATATAGAATCCAAAAGTGTGGGGCAGAGATGCAAATCCCTCTACGCTAAAAGTATATGCTGCTTTTGGGAATACTTTGGAATTTAATTGGTGGTCACAATTTTTTTTTTTTTTTCAGTTCAACGGTCAGGGATGTTTGGACCAATTTACGCACACCAAATAATGAAATGATTGTTAAATAAATTAGCATGAATCTTTTCCCATATTGAAAACTCAATCTCTTGCATATATGCTCCCATACTTCAGAAAGGGAATAAAGTCATAGGTAGATTTCTAATGGACTGTGAAGAATTAAGGGACTTGATCATCAGCAAAGAGAAGTCTTCAAGCTCCAAGAAAGAATCTTCAACCTCCCAACCCTATGGACATTCATCAATACTTCCAATAATGTAAAATAATCTACTAGGCACTTAGCAAACTAGTAGGGCCGAGGCTCATTGTCATCAACGAACTCACTCCATAGGCATCAAGGGAAAGGAAATCAAGAAAGAAATTCAGAGGAGACTCCCTGACTTTATGAAGAAATACACCACTTAATAACTCTATTCTCTCTAGAAGTGGATGGCACATGGGGAGACTTCCTGACTTTATGAAGAAATACACCATTTAATAACTCTCTTCTCTCTAGAAGTGAATGGCACACGGGAGATTTCTCACTGAAATTGGCTCCTTCTCTCTTGTAGTGATACTAGGCAACCAGCCTAGGAGAGAAAGTCTCTCTATCCAAAAAAAATATTTAGCTTTTATAATGTAATGTATTACAAGGGTTGATTACTTGTTCAAAAACTACTCCATTATAGACTTTGACCGGTGATTGTCTCGTGTGATGCACTCTCTTCATTGTCACCTGTAATTTCACCCCTACTGTTACGGCATTACGCCTACAACAATTTCATCCCAACATTATTAAAAAAATCATTGTTTAATTTACTAATTTGAAGTTTTAAAGAGATTTAAAAGTGAAGCAATTAATTGAGATAGTGATACTTTCAAATGTAAGTAATTAAATTAGTTGTGGTTACATGGACCACATGGAAGAACTCAATTAGAGGAAGACCTATGCATTGTTTACATAATTCAAAATTAGGAGAAAAATAGATTTAGGGAAGAAAAACTTCTCAAGCATTCTCTCTCCTAAATTAATTCTTGTAGGGTTAGCATAACATGAAATGGAAAATGGTATGCCATTAAGCAAATATTCCGAATTTGTGGCAAATTTCATCTAGAATAGCATAGCTAGCAACTTTTTCTATATCAAATAACATTTTTTTGTCAATTTGCTTGAAATGATGGGGAACTAATACAATTGGAGTTTAGTCCATTGTTATGATAAAAAAATTTTCAAAATAAGATAAACCCATTAATGAATAAAAATATTATTTGTTCAATGTGAAAAAATATAAGTAAAAATTTAAATTTGGAATAGTTTAAAAAGATAGTGAGAATAGTTACAAAAGATGAAAGGAGTGGTTAAATAAGCCAAATTGAATAATTTAATTATCTATAAATTAAGCATAGGAGTGAAAATATTTCTCAAGCCCTCTCACTCAAAAAATGTTTGCTTTCGACAAAAATTAAGGGAGAGAGAAATTGAAGGATATATATCCCTAATTGATTTATGGGTCCACCTATGGTTCGAAAACATTATTTTTTAGTACAATATATCTAAATTTTGTTTAATTAAATATGAAATAATAAAAATTTTATTCATTTTTATAATTTTTTGCAATTAACAATTAAACAACATCAAATAAGAGTTATATGGTTAATATTCAAATTCAAAATGGTATCAAAAAAATTTTGGGTAAATATCATAATTAATCTTTAAACTTATTCTCTATTTTAAAATAATCTTTGAATTTTCAATTATCTCAATTTACTCCATCAATTATTAATTTTATAGCGATAAATTCATTACATCTATTTCACCAATTAAAGCAAAGACACAAACTTACATCTTGTGCCTCGTTTGTTCTAATAGTTGAAATAGATAAAAGAATTTAATTGATATAAAATTGATAGCCATAAAATTAAATTAACATAATTAAAAATTCAAAAATTATTAATAACTAATTATGGTATTTACAGTTTTTCAAGTTAGCAAATCTTATTCCTATTCCTAAATTTACAGGACTTCTCTTTCATTGTCCCCACTTGAGTAAGAAAACCAAAAGAAAGGAAGACTCCTAAGCAGAATTTATTTCTAATATAAAAACAGATACTAACCAGAAGCTATAGATATACAACAACTGTGCTTGTATGTTTATCAAAAAAAAAAACTGTGCTTGTATGCATACGGTAATCTCAAGTTTTCTCTCTCTCCCATCTATTCCGGCACTCCAGAAGCTTACTCTTCCCTCTCTCTGAAATCTTCTCTCTCTTTCTATGGCTTCCCCTTCCCAAGGTAGCCTCCTCCTCCAAAAACAGCTCAAAGGTACCAATCAAATCATACCCATTATGCTATGCCCATTAATTGTATTCAATGATCGTCCCAATTTTAGATTGATGATCGGTGTTTTTCTTTGCAGATCTCTGTAAACACCCGGTGGATGGATTTTCGGCAGGATTGGTTGATGAAAGCAACATATTTGAATGGAGCGTCACCGTTATTGGACCACCTGATACTTTATAGTGAGCCCCTCTATTCAATATAACTTCAAACCATGAATTATTTATGCTTGATTTCAATATATGGCTCTATATGTTTATTGTTCAAAGATAGAATTTTTATGTGTTTGATTTCAGTTTAAGGGTTGAGATTTAATGGGTGATTGAGTTTGTGGTTCTGTTTGGTTGATAAAGGTTTTTACTTTGGGTTATTGACATGGATTTGGCGTTTTTGATTTTTATGATTGGGTGAATTGGATATTTCGATTGGTTGGACTGTGGTTGGCCTTGATTTGGTTTTTGGGGTTTTAGGGTTTGGGCTAACTGCAAAAGTTATCTTTCTGGATATGTTCTTTCCTGTTTGATTGTAAATTTGTGGATGATAGCTTCTTTCATTGAATATTATTATTATAGTGTAGAGGAATAATAGAAAAGTTGACCATAATTCAATTTGGTTGGTGGGCGAGTACTCTAAGCATTGAACTGATATTCACTTGTTCTCATGGAAGGAATTTTTGGATTTTGATTTATTAGATGAGGTCCACGATTTTTCATAAATTAAAAATCTTGTAAAGTTGACGTCTTTTATGCAATTTTGGCTATTTATTGCAATTGGTGGTAATATGGGGCATTAGGAGCTCTGACTTTTGTGCTTCCAGTTCTGGAGACACAAATGTTGAGCTTATTACAGATATGCCTGGTAGTTTGTTTTTTGTTATGATGGTAGCTGTTTCTATTCCACTCTTCTTAGTATTTGCTTGAAGTGATGTGATTCTGACTGCTCTTCATCTGTAAAACGTTGCAGTGATGGAGGTTTCTTTAATGCGATCATGACCTTCCCGCAAAACTACCCACAGAGCCCCCCAACAGTGAGGTTTACCTCAGAGATATGGCATCCTAATGGTTCGTGCATTGTTTCTAAATATCTTTCACATAATTCTTATTGATTATTATCTAACTGCTTGGGTATGATAACAGTTTATCCTGATGGAAAAGTTTGCATTTCAATTCTTCATCCCCCCGGTGACGACCCAAACGGCTATGAGCTTGCTAGTGAGCGCTGGTCTCCTGTCCATACGGTATGACCACATAAGTCACATTAAGGTTTTTTTCTTGTTGTGTTCTAGATAGTTTACTAATGTTGCTTAAAAGTTATTGGCACTGTAGTTGTTACCCTTTTTCCCTCAAGTTTATTTTGATTTTTTTATTCGCCTCGGTTTTGGGTCGTTTAGACTCGTTCATTCTACAAAATGAATCAATGATTTTTGAAACGAATTGAGTTTAAGCAACTTCTAAGTTGACTTTAATAGGCTCGACTCGGCTGGAATAGGTTCCGGTATTTAAATAATTCTAATTTTGTTGTCAACATTATTTATCCGAAAGATGAGCAATCCATACCTGTTAGGCTGTTACGCTTATCTGTGCCTCTTTTCTGTGATAGATTTTCCGGGAATTGGGGCTCTTAATATTTGATTTTATGGTTGATTATACATATGTTGGTAGATTTTTATTGAGAAGTTGGTTATTTTAGAATTGATTATTATGTTATAGAGTATATTATTTGAAAACTTTTTTGTTGTGAAATTGAGTTTGGTTTCGCCTCGAATGCTCGTAATCTTTTGTTTAGCAATTATCCCTACCTCCAGTGAAGGGGATTTTTAGAAGGAAATTTTTGTAGTTAAACTGTAGAAGAGTGATGTTAGGGTGAAAAGAAATAAGTATAAATAGTCTTGCTCACTGAGTGGTACTAATCTTAATCTTATTTTGCTTTTATGGTGTTGGCTGGCTAGTTTAAGAAAAAGGGGAGTGGGGACAGGGAACGGGGGACGGGGGGGTTTACATTGCTAAATTCTTGTAGCACAGTGTAGCGTTGTCAACTTGTCATGCATCTGAAAGGAAGGAACCTTGAAAGAACGTTGCTAGCGAGGGATTATCGCCTCTAGGTACTGAATTTGCTGTCGAGGGATAGCCTGTTAAGTGGGCGGGGTTAAGTTGATTCAGACTCCTGCCCCCACTATGGAAAGAACAAGGAATCAAACTTGAAGTAGATGGTTTTGATATCTTGATATGTATAGCTCAAAGTATGTCCTTTGCTTTACAAGAAACAGTAGTTCTGTAACAAATTGTGTTTTGGTACAATTGTTTTGGAAATGTGGTACACTTGCGTTCTGCCACTAAATTTGATGAATAAAACATGTTATGGCTAGAGCTTTACTTATCTTTGTGCTAAAGCAAAGATTTACAATCTAATAAGGTTTTGGGATATACACGTTCTCTAAATTCCATATGATGGCCAGTATATCATATTTGCTGAAGTAGACAGCAAATTCGTACATTTTTCTTTTTCGGATACAAGAACTTGTACTTTGAAATATGTCAAATTTTAACTAGTTTATCTGAATAACCCCACCCTTAGCCTATAATGTTGTAAAATAAGTGCCATACTTCATTCACATTCCTGTTCCTGTTCCGGTAAAGAAATGATATGTGTCAACTGCTACAAGATCATGCTTAACTTACACAAGTTGTATGTGTTTGCCTGTGGTTAGATCATTCTGTTAGTTAGTGTTCTGCCTTTCTATTAGTATGTATATGCTGCTCTACCCCCATATAGCACAAGTTGACGAAGAATTTATTTGCAGGTCGAGAGTATAGTTTTGAGCATTATATCAATGCTGTCAAGTCCTAATGACGAGTCTCCCGCAAATGTCGAAGCTGCGGTAAGTGTCAATATCTAGCTGATTTCTCGACATATTTTCATGAACAAATGTTCGCTTTGTTTTGCTGCCTTTTTTTGGGTGGGTTGAAATTGTCAAACGGCGTTGTTTGGAAGTATGAGATCCATATGCTGAACTGTTTCATTCAAGGAAACCACTTTTCATGAGTTTGGCATGTCCATAAGTATCAGCTCTTGATAGAAATTTCCCTTTCGTAGTTATTTTTCTGTAATGAAGCAAAATATAAAACGATGTTGAATCATACAGCGTCCTTGGTGGCTTTTTCAGGTGATTTAGAATCACTAATACATCTTCTTAATCTGTCCAATTGTGTAATTGCAGAAGGAATGGAGAGAAAGAAGGGATGAATTTAAGAAGAAAGTTAGTCGCTGTGTGAGACGGTCACAAGAAATGATGTGAACCGGTTCCATTGCGACTCTGCCAGGAGGAAGAAGAATGATGGCTTTGTTGAATCAATCATAAGTTCTAAGCCTTTTTTTTTTTTTTTTTTTTTTTTTTCTCCCTTGTGTCGGGTTTTTCAAATTCAAATCAGAAATATTTCTCCATAATGAAGTTATTTAATTTGGAAACTCGACTAAATCCATGTTTTGATTGTTGTGCATTATTTTCTGATGGAATTTGTGAATGTTTGTTGTCGATGAAAATTTCTGAAAACTATATAAATAATGTGTGCTCTGTGAAGATATTTCATTATTATTTTCCTTTACATTATAAGCTATAATGTAATGACATGCGACGAGCCTAATACTTGTGATCCTTATCTCTCATAAAACACAAACATCCAACATCGTCTCCAATCATGAACTTCCCTCAACTAATTTTAAAAATTATACCCTCACATTTGAAAGTTGTAATTTTCATAAACGATAGCAATGTTTTAGGATCATTATGTTTTATACAAATCATAACTTGTACCTGAAAAAATTACAACTTTTCCTAAAAAAATTATGATTTTTGGTATGATACCGTGTCAATTATGTAGTCTTTCCCATGATTGACAATTAGTCCTTGCAATTGCCTTAACATCCTTCAAAAAAACATTACATTGCATTCAAATATAGTTCACAAGTTATATGTCATTTGTCCTTGGACCAGCCACTGACATAGATGGGGCTAATCATCCCAAAGGAGATGACCATAACATTACCGGTCTTCCCGATACCATCTTAATTCTCTTCAAGCAGACTGTCTTTCAGGCATCTTTGCAATCCAGTCCATCATAAAGTTTAAGTTGCCTTCATACTTCGGGTCGGCTATAACATAATGGTAAGCAATTGCCAAAACAAATATAAAAATGCCAAGAAAGTTGGCGAACAATCCCAGCTGTCGATCGTCAATCATCTGCAATAGCACGATTGTAGCTTTGATAATTTAGTATGACAGACGTAAACAGTCCAGTCAATAATCTAATTTCAAGGGCTGGAACAAGAACTAACATATTTGGATAGTGAAAAACGCATCATATCAGCAGAACCAACATTTAAAAGACATATTTCCACTCATGTCCTTTCCTTTCTTTTAGCTCACAGTACTAGCCGTTCTAAAAATATTTACCAACAGGATTTGTAGGATTTCAACATTCCAAATATATGTAGGAATTTTGAGTTCAACAGAGGATGATAAAATGCACAAGTAGTCAAAAATTTGATTGCGACCCAACAAATTTTGAGAGATCAGGTAAGGAGTTACATCTTGGAGAGTGAAGCAAAGATGTTCTGTATAGATAGCCCTCTGGCATAATTCCTTTTTTCTTTTTCCATTTTTCCCCTTTTTTTGACAATCACCATCATACAAAATAAAACTTAGGGGTGAAATAGCTCACTGACAATTTTTTTAATCGATTGTGGGTATCCTTGACAATAAGCACGTTTTGGGTTTCCAAAGGGCATGTTGAAGTGAAATGAGGAGTGATATACATATTCCAGAGTGAACATTGAACATTGTAATCAAATCCTTCTACTGTTCTTCTACCTAACCCATCGACCTGGAATCAATTGAATTCCTTGGCTTCATCCTCTTTTAAGCATGCCCACTTCCTAGATGTCGATGGATAATGCAACTATGAGCCCGCTTTCACTACATAAATTGTAATCTTGCCAAAATGACAAATGGCAAGCACAAGAATATTCATGTAATAAGCAAAGGAGCCAGGATTGAAATCCTTCTACAACTCCTCCGTCACAAAAATTTGCCAACATTATAATCAATCTTATTCAAACCCTTAAAAGAAATAGTTCTGCTCCGTAACACAAATCAGACTTTGATACAGGCCCTCTCATTTTCTTCCAGTGAATAAACTCAAAACCTTCGGCTAAAGTCGGAATTTCTACTCTTCAACCTCTTCCTCTAGTAATCCCCAACCTCAGCAAACACTTCATTCTAAATCGACAACCTTTAAACCTTTTTTTACCTACTTATCTTTAATGTTGAATCATTAATTATTTATTAACTAGGGGTAACCTATGCCTGAAAGCACGATGTAATGTGAATGGTTTTCAAATGAATGTCGGTGAGCATTGAATGAATCTATTTGAAACCGTCGAATGGTCTTATTGAAACCTGTCCTGTTTTATATTGTAAATGTTAGACTCTACTCAATAAGAAAATTACTAGTCTCTGTAAACAAATGTACACAACTTGTCCTGCCATGACTCTAGGCTCTTTCTTTGCCAAAACAAATTCTTCCAAGTCCATCACCTTACACGTGAGCATTTCAAGATGCAAAAACTAAACCAGACAAACAGATTACATAGCAACTAAAATATCAAAGCATTTCTTCAAAAGTTCAAATTGTTATGCACATTTTGAAAACCTCGTAACATTCAGAATAACACATACAACTTATCCCGTAAATGTCAATTAATTCAAGTGACCTTGACCACTAGTCCCCAATATGTTAGAAATTTCTTAAAAATAGGTAACACCTTTTGAAATAGCAATGTATACGACAAAGAATCATCAAACCTTAAAAAACCTTAGTTTTTGAGATAAAAGTTCACAAATCCTATCTATCTAAACTACGTGGAAACGACAGTTAATTATATAGCTCAAGGGATATGAATAAATAAATATTCAGCTTAGATGATAAAAATTGATTTTTTGAGTATTTTTCATGAACTTGGAACATGAAAGGGTATGAACAGGTAATTGAGATTATACGAGTTTGTCATGTGGGTTCATACCCTTTGCAATTTTGAGGAAAAAATATTTATTGCAACAGTTACCTCATGTCATCACGCTGATGTAACCACTCAATGATTAGATAACAAGTGGGCAAATGGATCCCATATAGGGTTGGGTCCAATCCAACACCCTCTGCAATAGAGGTGTGTCCTCTTTATTTGTTTACAAACATTACACCAGAAGATTGAAGGCGATCACAGTGGGATTCGAACCCACGACCTTTAGATTCGGAGTCTAACGCGATATCCACTCCTCTATGCGATCATTTGATAGACTTTTTGCTTATTCTTCATTCTTTAAATCGGACTTCATAACAAGAACTATGAAGAAAACAGAGACACAAAATCACAACTGGGTTTTACTATAATCGCAACGACAAAATAAATCATGCTAAAAGGGTTTTACGATCCTTAACCAAAAATGGATCCAAAACGACTCGATTCTTAAACTTTAATCACGGATGTCTGTGTCTCAACAATCTTTAACTGAACGTATTTAGAAAAACAGAGAGATCACATACCTTTTGTTGATCAAATGTCAAGAACGGAGGTTACCTGTACCAGATCAGTGAAAAAAAAGAGGGAATTCCTAAGGTTGAACCCTTTGTTTTGTCCCAAAAAATAACCTTCCACAGCGAAAACCTCCCCGTTTGACGTTCTGATGTAATCTCTCACACACACAGAGAAAGACAGAGAGAGACTAGTAAGGTAGGTACGTGTGTAAAACCCAAGAGAGACAAAACTGAGAAGGTGGCTTCAGGTTACTTCTGTGTTCAGACTTCCATCGAAGGAGGATCGTCTGAAGTTTTCAAGTCAAAAATAAGGGTGGGCTGGGCCGGCCAACAGCCCTTAATAGAAAGTCGTGAGGTTTCCAGAGAAAGAGAGAGAGAGAAAAAAAAATTATTTGAATTTAAAATTTGAATTTAATTTGTTGATATAATGACGTGGCTTAATAGAAATTATTGGATCAACACTAAATTCCAGTGTTTGATGGGACCTATAGCCAATTCAAATGTCACATAACTCTTTAGGTCAAATTTTTAGATCTCAATAACATAGTTCTTCAAGAAAACAATAAATATAACGGTTATACTATATTAACAATATTATATGGTGTAATCATCAAATAATAAACCACCACCAAATGCGAAAGTGAGTCTCACAAAGTTTGATAATTACACAATTCATGTAAGATCATAGCAAACTTACGTGAACATTAAATAGTAATTTAAGTGGTAACAATAACAAATTATAAACACAAATATTTTAAATTCGAATCTTAACAATTCTTGAGATCAGATCACAAGGAATCATGAATAATCTAATCTCAGGAGAGATGTACATTGAATATTTACTCGTTTCTAAGGGTGTTCACCCTATCCTACGGATAGAAAATATGTTCTTTCGTCTTCCTACCCGATACTTTGCGGAAAAGTTTTTTCTTAGCCTACCCTACCCGACAGGTGGTATTCCTACCCAACTTTCTACCCGATTAATCAGATAGGAAGTCGGGTAAAATATTTTTGTAACAATTAATTTTTGAATCATTTTAACAATTTAATTAAATAACATACACCAATTTAACAACACAATAAATCAATTAACACTAAAATCTAAAACAACTACAACAGGAATTATAATAAAACACAAGAAAGTATGAACATCAATCCACCATAATTGTTATACAAATACAATAACAATTAATTTAAATTTAAACTTTAAATCATATGAAATACATTAAAATCATAATTGTTCCGCTGTGGTAGTTCACCACAAATCATGTAACCGATCTGTTACTGTGGATGAAGGTCTGCGATCAGACCTTTCAAGCCAGACCACACCTCAAAGAGAGAGAGAACCTGGGTGGGAAGTCTGGAACGATGAAGGAGGAGCAGTGGAGTGACAGAGTGAGGTGTGAGGCACAGATGCTCTTGGGACTCGGTAGATTAGGGTTTTTTTAGTTTATATATATATATTTAAAAAAAAATTATTGCGAGTAGGGTAGGGTAAAAATGCGGAAATGAATAGTTATTCTGCATTCTTACCCGAAAATTGTTGGAAGACTAAAATTTTTTTCGCATTCATACTCGATTTTTGCGGTTAACCGTTCAGTAGGGTAGGATAAGAACTCGCAGTCGATCGAAAATTTGAACACCCCTACTCGTTTCTGTACTTGGCATGCAGCTCTTGCCATCTATGTCTGGATAGCAATATAGTTGTACTGAATGAGCTCTAAATTCTAAATTTTTAATTTTTTAAAAATTTTAAAATCTTACATGACTTCTCACCATTGGTTCTCATTTCAATTTCCATGGAGTAGTAATCCACCACGTGCGTTGCACGTAAATAATTTTTATATACAAAACATTAATAAAAAGTATTAGGTATATGTGTACCTACATTAAATATCATTTCAAAATTATCAAAATTATATTTTTATTGCTCGTATTATATTATAGAATTTAAAAATATTGTTTGTTCTCAACGATTCATTGTTTTAAGTATTAAAAAAAAGATAAAAATAATTTATTTGAAATTCATTTGATTATGTTATTCCGTCAAATAGTATCACGTAATCACTTATATAAAAAAACTTAACAGATTGTCTATATATAGATCATTTAAACATTAACTAAATACTTTAAGGACCAAATTGACAAAATTGATACAATAAAAATCAAACTGATAAAACATGCATATTTTAGAGACTAAAAGTGTTATTCATCTTAAAATATAATATATTACTCTATAATATATATTTTAAAAGAATATTAAAATTCTAAAATTCAAGTTTTATTTAAAAATACAATATAATTTTTTATATAAACTCTTAGTAAAATATGAAAAATTTACTGTGATTGAAGAATTATATTGATTTAATATAAATTATATTTTTAAAAAAAGTATGTAAAAGATTATTTTTTATTTTAAAAATTAAATGGTTGAAATTTTGGATGAAAGAAATACACATATGTAAAGATAATGTTATCTTTATATTTAAAATGACTAATATTAAATTGATAAAGTTTTTTTTTAAAAAAATTGAGCGTTTTATTAAAAATTATAGTGATGCATATATGTTTAAAGGTAACATAGTCAATTAAAAAATTTCATAGATATTGATATTTATACATAGTAAATAAATAATTAAAAGAGATGTTAGGGGTAATTTGGAGATTTAAACATATAAGTATATGATGGCAATTTAGATATTCAAATATTAAAGGATAGTGGTATTTAAATTTTTTTTATAAAAGTAAAATAGTAAATCAAAAAAATTTCATGCTAAAACAAAAGTTTCATTCTTTATTAGTAGTATGGATGAAAAAAAAAATACATATATATAGTCATAATGTTATCTATATATTTGAAAAAAGTATTATTTATTGATGAAGTTTTTGAACATTTTATTGAAAATTATAATGATGCTATATTTTTTTAAGAGTAACGTAGTCAATTAATTTTTTTTATAGATATTGAACTTTATACAAAGATAATAGAGAAGAAAAAGAAATCTAAGAGAGTAAATTGGAGATTTAAATACATAAGGTCGTGATTGTAATTTAGATATTTAACTATGAAAAAATAATGTGGTAATTAAAATTCTTTATAAGGTTAAAATAGAAAATCAAAAAAATTCACTTTAGATATTTTTATTAATAGTATAAACATAGATATAGATAGGTGACAAATGAGTTCTAAATTCTCGATTCTATTATTATCGATTTTCTGTTTTTTTAAAATTTTTAAAAGCTTACATGGCTTCTCATCATTGGTTGTCATTAACTTCTTATTATCTTAAATAACATTAGAATATTTTCAATTTTGACTCAAAAATTTTATTCAAATTTGAAAAAAAAATTTGATTTAACATAAAACACCTCAACGAAAAAACTTAAATTTAAAAAAGAGCAAATCCAAATTTTTAGTAGAATATAATATGACTATGGGCGGAGTTACGCATGGGTGAGAGTTGATACATGCTCACCCTCAAATTTTTTTAAAAAATATTTTATGTATACTTATATTTATATATTCTAAAAATAATACATACATTTTTTACTTATACGCACCCTATAATTTTCTTATTTCAATTGTTTAGTATTTTTCATTGTATTAATGATTTTTCTATATGACCCTAATTTTTTTTTGGGTTTCTTGTTAAAAAAAATATTATTTATGAATTTTACAAGTCAAAATTCTTGCAATTGACCTTCATTTGATTTTTTTTTCTACAAAAAATCATCTTTATTTCTATTCAAATATTGATATATAGTTTTTTATTTTGTGTCAATCGATTTTCAATTTTTTTACTATTTTTAACTCTTAAATTTTAGTTAGGAGATAAAAAATTAGAGTGTGTAATTAAGGTCCATCTTAAACAAATGTTTTTGACTCCGCTCCTGAATATAACTATTAGATTTTTAAAGAATAATGAAATCTAACCAATTTTTTTTACCCAAATTTAAATTTAAGTCTTAAAAATAATAAGGATTGTAGAAGCTCTTACTCTTAGTCACATAATCCTTCAAAATAATCTTTGGGGATGGTTTAGTGGTTCAATATGTTATTTGGTAATTTAGAAGTTTCAGAGTCAATCTCTTTTCACACCCCTAAAGGTTAGACAACCTTGTCCCTTTTGGGACATGCTTTAGATCACTTCAAGTCATGATGGTTAGTCGTTGAGCTCGAAAAAGTAGTCGGCACAAGTCTAGATACCATATAGAAAAAAAAAGAACATAATCCTTCAAAATAACTTACATTCTGGCGTCGTGCGCTAATTTGTGCGAGCGAATTTTCCGTGAATTCACACTTCCATTTTATAAAATTCGCGAACTCAAAATTTTCAATTCACAAATTATTTCTCGTATTTACTTATATTCTTACTCATTATTACTTACAAAATTTTATTTGAAAATTACTAACTCGTACATAAAAATACATATCAAACTAGAATGATATTTATAACTTATAATTATTATTTCAAGATTTTAGAATCAATATATATATTTAAAAAATAAATATTTTGTCACCTAGTGTTGCGTGAATTTTTTTTTTATAAGTTTATTTGTTTAAAATTTTATGGATGAATATTTATTTGAATGCATATAATATGACGTTTTCATTCACGGTACTCCCACTCTCAAATATTTTAAAATTTTATCATTTTTTTGCACTTCCGCTCTCACTCTTGCTTCCACTCCATTTTCTGCTCTGTGATTGAACTCTTATTTCTCATTAAATGCACATTTCTTTGTGCATTTAAATTCTTAAAATCACTCATAAAGTCTCACTTACATGAGATATACATGTCCCCTATCTTGTAGAGGCTAAAAATATTGGATGGAAAAAATTTGGAGGGGTAAATTTTATTAGAAATTTGATTAATATTAGTGATATACTTTCGAAGCCTATTTGGAGCTCCAATCACAATAGATCCACGTCGAATCACAACCACGATGCCATGTCATCGATCCACATCAAGCTAACATATTCCAACCGTCGATATCCAACTTACCCGGATCGACCCCTCATCATCGCCCATCACAAAAAACCCAAAAAATTCAAATTACCTCCAAAAACCCTATTCTCAAACTCAAACCCTCCCCAAACCTCCCCTATATAAACAAATCTCACCACATTTTTATAGGAATAACACCAACTCAATTCATTTCAACCACTCTCTATCGCAAAACTCAGAGTTTTCAATCTCTCATTTTTCTTCAAGATGTCTGGTTGTGGAAAGGGAGGCAAAGGTCTAGGAAAGGGCGAAGCGAAACGACATCGTAAGGTACTGAGGGACAACATTCAAGGGATCACCAAGCCTACGATTCGGAGGCTGGCTAGGAGGGGAGGAGTGAAGAGGATAAGTGGTCTGATCTATGAAGAGACCAGAGGGGTGCTTAAGATTTTCTTGGAGAATGTGATTCGTGATGGTGTGACCTACACTGAGCATGCTAGGAGAAAGACGGTGACTGCCATGGATGTGGTCTATGCTTTGAAGAGGCAAGGCAGGACTCTTTATGGGTTCGGTGGTTAAAGTTTCTGAGTATGTGTTTGTTATGGGATGTTGGTAATGTAATGTAACAATATCTCTAAAATTGAAATTGAAGAACCCTTTGATTTTATGCCCACTTCTCTATTTATTTTGTGTTGGACTGTTTTTAAATGCTTTGATATCTCAACAACATACGAATCCCATATTGTCTGTCATATCTTTTTGTGTTGATTGATTATCTTGATTTTTATTTTATATTGTTTGGGCATGAGGGTTCGGATTTGTTTTTGTACATGCAATATGAAGGTGTCATTTGATGGGACACTTTTGAGAATGAAGCGAATGACCAACACGTGTCCTCTTTTTATTCTAGCAAGGACACATATCATCGGCTTCGATGGCGTATGTTGCTCTTTTGCAAGTGCTTATGCTCGGTGCTGAAGTGCTCCTCCTCCCTATGACATACATGTGTCCTCGGCTCCAAGGGTGCCTCCATTCCGAGGGAAACTATGTGCCCTCACCCCCAAAGGTGCTCGCCGAAGTTCAAATCAGGCCACGTGTCCTTGGGGTTCTGGAAAGGCTACTGATTGACAGATGAACAGTCTAAATTAGACTAAAATCATGAGGGTGCTTTGCATAATAAAAGTCAGAACGACATAATGAATTGGACACTCAACCAGAGAAAGTCAGACGCGTGGCATAAAGTACAGTAGCTTTGGAAGCATTTAATGAATTTACGGCTACATAAATACCCCTGCTGATTTACGGCTATCCCAGGCAAGCATTTAATGAATTTCAGGTGATGGGACATCCACAGTAGCTTTGGAAGCTAAGGATATGTAGTATTAAATGCTATGAGATCTGAGCATTTAAGAGTCTTTGCATCAAGGAAAGAGCATTAAATACTTGGAAGCCCGAGCAATTAATAAAGGGGGCACCCCCATGCAAAATATAAGGTGCACTGCCCAATATCTGGACACTACTTATTGACTAGACCATCTGTAATGATGGGTCTTGGGGGTATAAATAGTTATCCAAAACACATTGTAAAAGTATGCAAAATTATCCCTCAAGAATACCAAACAATGTCTTCTTGTTCCCTTTTCTCAAAAAATTGACTTGATCATCGAAGGGGATACGCCAAAAAATACTCTGACGCTCTTCTAACCCTTTTATTTTGTGTTCCAAGAACCGCCTACAATGAACCAGAATAGAGTGGACAACCCCTGAAGTAATTTATCACCACTCCTTAAATCGTCTTTGACTCTCTCAACTTATTTCTTGTTGTGGGATCGACCACTTCCTCGTCCAACACGAGCTCATCAATGGTTGATGTGATATCCTTTGCTAGGCTTTCTTATACAATTTATTGAACATCAAATGGGAAGGGAAGGTGTAAAAACATTAGTCAAAATGGTTGAAAAATTAAGATACATTGTTAAGGCAAGGCAAGGAAACCTGTCGGAGCATAGACGTGTCCCTTTTTTTTCAGATTTAATTTATTTATTTTATATACGAAGCAGCTGTCAACGTGTGTAATTTTTTTTGGGGGGAGTTGTGTAATTTATTCTTCTATTTTTGTATATTTGTGGGCGTTAGAAATTTATAATTTTTGACCTTCTGTACACCGACCATAGTTATACAGGGAGCAACACCGTGTCTGTGTGTGTGAGAGAGAGATGTGCACGCTAGAGAAGCGAGGCAACATCTTCATCCTAACCCTAACCGGCAACGATGAGCACCGGTTAAACCCTACCCTAATCGACTCCATCAGAGCCGCTCTCCAGCGAGTCCGATCCCAAGCGAATGGTCCATCAGCTCTAATCACCACGGCGCAAGGCAAATTCTTCTCCAATGGCTACGACCTCGCATGGGCCCTATCCGACAAATCTCGCCTCAAATTCATGTCCTCCAAGCTCCGATCTCTCGTCTCCGACCTAATCACACTTCCGATGCCCACCATAGCCGCCGTCACCGGCCACGCCTCCGCCGCTGGCTTCGTTTTGGCTCTGAGCCACGACTACATTCTAATGCGCAAAAATAGAGGGTTTCTCTACATGAGTGAGCTAGATATTGGGTATAAAGTTCCGGCTTGGTTCATGGTTCTGTTGAAGTGCAAGGCCGGGTCGCCGGCGGCTTGGCGGGAGGTGGTGTTGAAGGCGGCTAAGTTGAGGGCTGATGTGGCGGTTGAGATGGGAATTGTTGATTCGGCACATGATAACCCGGCTGAGACGGTGGTGGCTGCGGTGAAGTTGGGGGAGGATCTGGTGTTGAGGAAGTGGGATGGACATGTTTATGGTGAGAATAGGAAGACTATGCTTGCTGACGTGTTGGCTAAGCTTGGTTTTGATGAGACTGTGGAGGTTGGTGACAATGAGACTCCTCCTTCTACGACCAAACATGTCTCGAGACTTTGAACAAAATATAATGTTGTATCTCTGTGAACCTAAGATAAATTACTGAGTTGATCTATTGGCTGTCGTCTCCCTTGTTGTACCTTCGTATCTGTTCGTCATTCCTTTTTTTTTTAGTTGTGTCCGACAAGAAAAGTAATTATTGAATTATCATGTATTTTCCAAGCTCCAAATTTTAAGCATTGTAACTATTTATAGCATCTCTAATCATAACTTAAATTTAAGAAATTCTGACAAAGAAAGATCTTACTGATTCTGATAAGGACTCATCGTAGATGATGTGTAACCATTCTTAGCAAAAAGCAAAATAAAAGTGCCATGATATAAAATAGACACCACCTCTAACGGCCACAGGAAAAGGATACAATCTTTTCACATCAATGAGAGGGAGTTAGAAAAAAACAAAGCTTCGAAGCCAAACTCTATTATGGTAAAGCTGATAAGTGGAAGTAATCTCTGTTAAGCCTAGCATTTGACATTCATATGCATGCATAAAGCAGTAAAGTACCTTACTGATGTAAAATAAATATCTGAGAATTTGGATTATGAGGTTACTGTTCTGAGAATCATACTTCTTGTCTTTCAGGGAAGATTCACCTGTGGGTACCTTCCAACCACGTCCTCGACAACTTTTCCAATACCGTCATTACAGGTATGACAGAATAGTAGATTTTTCCAATTTGTTTGTCCTAATGTTCTAGATGTTAATTAGGTGTAATTTCCTCAAATGTTCGATGATTTACCATCACGCCTTAATGAGCTAGCTTCAGTAGACTTTCCGTGCTAGTTACTCGCTCTGTGTTTTATGCATATCGCCAACCTCAGTAATCTTATTCTTTTCCTTTTCATTTACTCCACCTAGGATAGTAGTGATGGTGGCAAGGATGAAAAATATTACTAGTAGCTTCATTCCCCCCTCCCCGTCCTCCTCTCTTCCTGTGAAACCAATAATTTCTGATGCCAATTTCCAATCCCAACTCTCGAGTGTCAAAGAAATTAATGCCAACTTGTTGGTTTTAGTTTTATTGCAGTTTTCTGCGTTCAATAATCGGTGTTCTTTTACATAACTAGGAGTATGTTTGGTTCTAACTGTGCTGTTGCATTTGAGTTCTGATCAATTGGCATCATGGTGATAGCAATTCACTTGATTGAATTGGTTGTATGAGCTGTTGAGCATTAATGATCACATGCACATAGGAAGCTGAAACTTACTGTTTACATGGTTCATCTCTCTCTCACTTTGAATACTTTGATGTGTACCGGTGAACAACAACCTTTACGGTTAAACCCAGTGGAGGTTGGTGAAGTTATTGCTGCGGTTTGCTCAGAACCATCTTCATCAACAGCTAATCTCATGACAGTCTCATCTAAATTCAGTAATAATAGTAGAAAGCCATCAATGGATGTGGCTGTGAGCGTTCTCGTCAAACTTGTAATTGACATGTATGTTCTGGTATAGTTATTTTCCTTTATCAGGGCATTTCATTCTCAAATTGTTCCTTTCCTCCTTGACCCCCATGCATGTGAGGGGGTGGGGTGTGTTGGGTATGCAGGGGATCACAAAACAAAGCTTATTCAACCATGAAATTCAATCTCTGGCATGAACTCTAAATTCTAAATAGGTTTACTGTGTGAGGGGATCTTCAAGCCATCTGCCCAATAAACAATGGCATTGGTTGATGCAATTTTTAGCTGATGTCTTTTTACTTGTTCTGCAAAATTTACTATGGGAGATTACCATTGCAAAACTTTGTTTTTTAGGTATGTTTTGGATTCTGGGACTGCTGCTCCTCTCACTTTATCCATGCTTGAGGTGCTGCACATTTGACATATTTGTTTGTTAGGTTGAAGATCTTGTTATATCTTCTTACTTTCATGAAACCTATTCACAGGAAATGCTTAATTCTCCAAGATTGGTCTCAAAAGCCCGGGCTTTTGATTTAATCTTAAATCTTGGGGTTCATGCTCATTTATTGGAGCCACTAGTACCTGGTGATGGATCCACTATTGAAGAAGAGTATTCTCAGGATCCATACTTTGACAATGAAGTGCAACTTGCCACCCAAGGAAAGAGAAAACCAGATTATTTTAAGAAGATGGGAAATTCCTCAGCTATTGAAAATTTCGAGATTTGGATTTTGAGCATTCTGTATGTGATTCTTCTTCATCTTGTTCAGGTACAGCTTTGAAATGTTATACTCAAAGAACTATGCTGTTTCAGAACTTCACAATGGTGTTCTCTGTTACTGTGTCTGAATTGATGAAGGAACATTTTCTACATGGTGAGGTGCACGTTTCAACCTATTCTTCATACCCAGGATACTCTATGCTTGGAGGCTTTAAGGAAGCAGCAATTTCTAACTGCACTCTTATGGTTGCTTTTTTAATTTTTTTGCTTTGCCTTATGAATATCTACCAAAAATTGCAATATACGTTATCCAACTTCTGTGCTTCTAAGATAATAAGATTGCTCTTTTTTCTGAGAATTTCACTGGTTGTTAAGACTAATTTGTCAATTATTAGTGAAGTGTGGAATGAGGTTGTTTATTGTAATATTTTTGTTATTATTATTACAACTACTAGATAGTAGATTTGAAGCGGTGGCCTCTACTCCCTCAAGGTGGAGTTAACCATCTCGGATAGACCTGTAGGTCTTGTTTATTAGAATATTACTACAATTGAGAAATAGAAAATCACAACGCTACCTGGTCAGCAGTTGGCTTGCAAGGGAAAAATGGATGGACTATCCTGTAGAGATTTGGATAATTGAGCCAAGAAGGTTATGTTAGCAGAAACCTCGAACATTCGTCATATACATGAAGGCCAGAAGAGTTTCTCTTTAGAGTAGGTCAGATTTGAGATATTCGCCACCTACTGAAGAATATTTGAAAACAGTTTCCACCGACAAAGGAATATTATATGTCCAAACTGTATTTCTAGGAATGGAAATCAAAGGTTGATGAGGTCCGTGGTAGTTTGTTTCAAAAAATATTTTCTATTTAATTAGCCCATACTGAGGGGGAATTCAGTGGCATTTCCTGGAGGTCTGAAATGGGTTTGTTATTATCTTTATTGGAGAGATTTAAATTATGTTGGAAAAACTTCACTTGCAGAGTCTAGGTACTAAACAGCTTCACAAGTATGCTTTAAAATTTGCCAGAGGTTTTAGAGAGTGCGCCCGTTGACAACAAATTGGGCAATGAGGCTAAGGCTGGGGCAAGCTTGAGCTCTTGATTTGTATGTTTTTTTCTTTGAATTCATGGATGATAGAGGGTACACAGACCCAAGACTTTGGCCCTGTTGAGCGTTTACTATAGTTGACCACATCTCTCTTTCTCTTTGAAGAGGGGGTAGGTTTGATTGTCAGTCTCTTGTGGGCACTAATGAATGATTGTATTTTGGATGGAGAAATGTTCTCAGATGGCATGGGAGGTTACCATTATGCATTTTCCTCGCATAAAATCAATTCAAAACTTTCTAATAGAGACTGTAGGTTTCATTTCAAATATAGACCTTAAATCGGAAAGCCATTATGTGCAAGAGATAAAGCGATTATAAATCACCTTACATAAAAATTTTCACTTACTATATATATGATGTAGCATGGAGTGGCTAATAATTAGGAGAAGCCTCTCTTTATCAATTAAATTCATGTCTTTTTGCAAAGAATAAAATGGCTCTTGCTTTGTGACTTAGTAGTGGTGCCAAATTGGATTGATAAAATCAGGTAATTGCAAAAAAATTATTTTCCATTGTTTGACAACCTACAAAATTACTTCGGTATAACATACTGTTTTCAGACAATGACTTCTTATGTCTCAGGAATTCATACAGATGCAATTACAAAGTGATCTTAAAAAAATTCATAGGATTAGGCTTAATGGTTAATATGAAGTTTTAATATTTCTGGGATACTTGCAAGAATATTTAGAATAATGATACTAGCACGCATCCCACTGCCAGTAGAAGCATTGAAGGTTGTGGCATAATAACATATAAGGATGGTTGTGTGGCAGTGGGCCTAATGTGACAGCGGCATTGCATAGATCAGGTATTACTTGTATGGCTAAAGTGTCAATCCTATTGTTCATGTCCTGTCAAAAAGGTTAACTTAGAATTGAAATTGGCCCCTCCGACATTCACTCACCGCACATTTGTCTTATACAAAATGTCTGCACACACACATCTTTAGTAAACCATTTTATCCTATACGTACTCATCAATATTCAAGATTGAGAAATTATGGGCTCATTTGTAGCTTCACACACCCATTATTTTTTATTCTTTTTGGGGGGATGGGGGGGGGGAGACTTAAACTCTTGACCTTAAGAAGGCAAAACCTTCACAAAGTAAGGAGTATCATTTGACCAAAAGCCCGTTGGTATGCAGACCCCTTTGTTGCTTTGTTTTTGTGGTCCGAATCATTTCAACTAGCACGGGTAAGTTGGGTGATTCAAAAGACTTTTTTTTTTTTCCCTAAATTAGTGGAGAAATTTGATTGGTTTGGAAAGCACAAGAACGGGGTAACCCTTTGGAATTGTACAATTTTTGCAATAATCTTGGTAATTTGATTGGAAAGAAATTCTAGGATATTCAAAGATAAAGATTATTGGAAGGAAGTCTTGTGTGTCGGGATTTATTTCTTGGCTTCTCGTGTGCTTCACAGCTTCTAAGGATTTTGAGGGTATTATGCCCTCTTGTATTGTGGCGAATTGGAAAGCATAATATATTCCATAGTTATATTGTATTTCTTTTCTGTTTTTTCATTTCTTGGCTCGACAACTTGTTCAACCCAAGTTCTCTTTGATATTCTCTTTTCATATTAACAAAATTGTTTAGTTTCCTATCCAAAAAATATATATAATAACTTCAGTGGTTGAAGACAATAGTTGCTTGAAGTTTTCAAGCTACTTTGTGATCTCTACACAGTAAGAGATTAGCCCGGGTGTTTTCTTTTGTCGTGCATAATCAATGGTAGAGCTGCTGAAATTGCTTCTTGAGTGGTTCAATATGCTCCAGCAATTGTAAT